CATACATCCGGCAGAGTGAGGGTTTATGGCAAGCTTTCCTTGCAATTCACTGTCAATAGCGGTGTGCGACAGGGCTGCCCTATGTCCCCATTCTTCTTCAACTTCACAATCGAAGACGTTCTGTCGAATGCTCTAGAAGGTTTTCAACATTTTGGCTTAGAGCTTCTACCGGGTGAGCGCGCGACCGACTTAGATTATGCTGATGATATCGTCTTACTTGGTAACGATCCTCAGAGTATGCAACTCATTCTGGATCGTTTGGCGGTTGAAGCATCTAAGTATGGCATGAGCTTCGCTCCATCGAAGTGTAAAGTACTGCTCAAGGATTGGCTTTCACCTGCTCCCGTACTCACTCTCGAAGGTGCATAGCTTGAACTGGTAGATAGTTTCGTCTACCTTGGGAGCTGTGTTTCTGCTGACGGCACTATCAACAAAGAAGTTTCTGTTCGTATTGCTAAAGCTCGATCAGCATTTGTCAATCTGAGGCACTTATAGCGTCGTCGCGACGTCTCATTCTCACTAAAGGGCCGCGTTTACAGCGCATCAGTTCACTCAGTATTGTTGTATGGGTGCGAGTCCTGGCCGCTTCGCATAGAAGACATGCGTCGTCTTTCTGCGTTCGATAACGGTTGCTTAAGGAGGATCGCTCGTGTTTGGTGGCAACATCGAGTTAAGAGTAATGACGTTCGACGTCGTATCTTGGGGAATGCGAGTATTCCCTTCAACAAACTGGTTTTGTTGCGCCAGTTGAGATGACTCGGTCACGTCCTACGCATTGCACCTGAGGGTCTACCGCGTCGGGCTCTATTCGCTCGTCAAGGACCTGGCTGGAGGCGACCGCGTGGTGGTCAGCCTTCCACTTGGCGGCAGCACACGAAATCGCTGACGTCATGTCTAGCCGCTGTTGGATCCGTACGTCTTCCAGGATGGGGAGCCAAAGATGAGGAGTGGCAATGGTTTAGTACTCTTGAAGATATGGTCCGCAATCGGAATCAGTGGAAGAATTGTGTGAAGAATTGTATTGATTCACATGTTTAATACCTCAAACATTAAAATGACAAAAAAGAGCAAAAGCGGCGTGTGAAAAACAAACTAAAAATGTTTTCTACTTTTTTCAAAATGTTCCATTCTTCCTGCGGCATATTAGTTGAAGTGTGTTGCTCACCTTCAACTGGCATGCCACGATGATTATGACGCGAAGAATCTTGCTTACCTGCTGATCTCCATGGTTTTCTGCTGTCTCTGTGTCTAGTTAATAGACTGTTAAGATTGCTACTTACTACTTAGAAAAGTGGGACTGTTACCATCGCTTATTTGGAGCCCGAAACATTTGCTGTAAGCCATTGTTGATTGCTGCTTTAACGGAAGGCTTTTCTGTATTCTGGCACTTACCGGCTAAAGAGGCAAATGTCGAGTTACTGTTCCGATCATTTGTAATTGCCTGAGAACCGCCGGCTGAAAATATAATTGTCGAGTGGCGGTCTCGATCATGATTAGGTGCCGAATCTCCACTTGGCTGTACAGATAATTATCCATATCGTGTGTAACCAAACGGCTCCAAATCGCTGGTGTTCTTGTGAAAAATTGCATTTCACGTGGCTGTAGAATCCGTATTGATCCATCCCACGTCCGTCGCCAAATTGTTGCAACCCGGTACTAATAGAATGGGCCCATCGAAGATCCATATATTGGACCAGATTGGGCTACCGGCCTGAAGTTGGACAACCGTACCGCGTTAGACCGTGATACCAAATGCTGCTCTGGGTATGACGGAGTGTTAAATGCAGTGATCGATAGCGGTTGATTCGTGATCATGGTGGTTGGGTTAGTTAAAATTGTTCTAACCCTAACAGAGTGGTCCACAAGAGCGCCGACCTCGCACCTCCTGTTTCGCAAGCTACGCACGTTACTAAGAACTACCTGAAGGTTATCGGAATAATGCGCCACCGAAACGGGTTCTGGCGGAGTAGTGACCGCCGACACACCACCCGAAAACCCACCAACTGAAGACCCTTTACCCAGCGTCACGGTGCGCTTTAAAATTCTGGATAGCCTTCTTGAGCTTCACTGTTTTCCAAAGAAAGGTCCGGCTGTACACTTACCCCATAACCCTTGTGTTTGAAAGCAAAGCTGAGGAGTGTCTGGCGCTCATCTGGGGTGGAAAGAACCACTCGCAAACGATGAGGTCGGGGTTCAGCTCCCTGACTTGTATGTTGCCAAGTCTTTTGAGTTTTCTATCTGTTACTCCGGGTGGCAGCAATTTAGAAACAGTCTAGAATATTGGAGATCCCACATGGTACCCTCCGTCGGAAGAGTGGTTGTGGGTTTAGATACACCCCTAAATATGAGGCTACAATCGGCAAATAAGTCTGAGCTCGTGTCATCGAAACAGATGGGCGTACGTCCGCAGTGGGTTTTGGTTCTGTGGACGCACAACTCAGTGTCTGAGGCAGCAAAGCATTCAAAGGAACTGACTGCGCATCACGCGTCGGACTGACTTCAAGTGGAGACTTCTATGTTTACAAACCCTCTTTCGCGTTCTTTTGGTAGGTGCAGGGAATGCAGTTCTACTTTACTACACAATGGTGAATGGCTAATTGGAGGGTCATTTGTAGAATACTCGTTGTGTGATTGGATTGCGACGCGCAATCTCATTGTGGACGGAGATCGACATCGAAGTGATCCTTGGTTTCTGAGAACACTAGGACCGTAGTCGAAGCAGATAAGAATTTTGTGTTGCCCGTCCGAAACACTGCCAACCACGACGCGTTTCGTTGTCATTTCATCTCATCAGGTGGAGATAGTAGGCCACGAACCCGCGACCATTGGAATAGTAGTCGAAACTTGTACTCCTTTGGCTACCGGGTCACAGCTGTTATTTTACCGATTTTCAGTGGGGGCTAAAGTTGTTATTCGGCGATCATAATAAATCTGTCTGATCCCCATTGCTTACTTACCTTTGTCGTCCACATGTTAACTGTCCCCCGCGAAAGCCCGATTTTTGAAGCACAAACCGGCTTTCATTGAAATCGAGGTTACCTTGACCACATCTTCATTTTAAACTGGTTATTGAAGTACCGCCCATCTATTTTATTTTCCCACTGGTCATAGTAATCTGATCCACCACACCTCGGTGACGAAATCATAGTTGTTTAACTAAGCTGAACTGACCGAATCTCCCTTTGACTATCCGGAAGACAACAAGATTACAGGTAGTAGAAACCTGGCGGTTTGGTGTCGCGACACCAGCTAATTTGTTCAGATGTGTACAACAGTTATGATGACCGTTTCACGTCTGTGTGATGACCGGTGCAATATACGGGGTTGTTAGAAAAGCGATGGTTATATGTAGGTTAAAAAAGTAAAGCATCCTTAATACGCCGATGCACTGTACGGACACCTCGCCGTCACAATATCATCACTAGTTGTGCACGAGCTAGGGATACTGCAAAGCCACCTGCATCTACAGAGATTTGAACCGGTGATCTTTTGGGTACGAAACTAACACCCGTACTTTCGTGACCGGACGCCTACATACAGGTTGTAGTTTAGCTGAACGCCTGTGCCAGGTGGCAACATTTTTAGAATCTCTATCTAAATGTTTTGACTTGATAACTTATCCGTGAGGCAGCGAAGATAAAGCGACAGGCGATACTTCGAGTAATATTCGCGAAATGGCTGCCATTTTATTACCAGGTCTCCAAACTACGTGTCCAGGGAACCTAGCTATTGATCATCCTAGCTGGAATAGCTCTCAGAGCGCTCGAGCGCACCACCCACTATTAGAGGTGCACAAGGCGTCTTACTATGCGGAAATCTCTTGGAGGTAAGAGATTAACGCAATCGCTGAAAGTGGTCTGCGCAAAAAACTAGTTAGCGTTATTGCGATTTAGTGCGCCAGCGATCTATCATTGTCTCATTAATGAAGAACTTCCTGTTACGACAGTATCTAATATTATTGGGCCGATCCCCGTAATTCCATTATGACCGGTATCTTTCATTGATGCACTTGGTGCGCTTACGCGAAACCCGAGCATCTCTAACGCTTGTCCGGCTATCCAATCGGCAATTTTTCTTAGAGTGCAAATGCGCGCACGCATGCATCTGCTTTTGGGGTGCGCCCAATCGCGTGCGAAACCATGAATCTCGCGCTACCCTGCATGCATGGCAGCCTTGAAACAGAGTCAGTTCGTGGAAAGATGGGCACAGAGAGGCCGCACTAGCCAGTTGAACTGTCGATAGTTTCGTTCGCAGTGCGGTTTGCTGCCTATCGTCTGTTCGGAAATAACAGCCAGAATTCACGAGTAGCTTAGTTGGCAGTGAGTGCGGACGGGTTGTCATTGGGCCATGCTGGTTGAAACGAAAACAGTTGTGCAGACTGCAAACGGCAGTGCATGAGTACCGCGTCTACTCTGGTAGATGTGGGGAATCGCATTTTCGGACGAACTTACACGTGATCCGCAACCACCGCTGTTATTTTCTGCTCTTCCGTTTTATCTGGGAACAGTTGACTGTTTGACTTTCCGCCACACCAAAACCTGTAGACAGACAAACCTGAGCAATGGATGTTTGATGGGTAGTTATGTCTATCAAATTTAACGACAAAACACAGTTATGGCCAGTTTTTGTAGCCTTAAATCTTGCTTCCAACAAACCATTGCAGAACTCTACACTTGACCATGTCGTTCGTCAGTTCTTCATCACTCATTTCGTCAGCCAGTACATCAGAACCGTTCTGGCATGCCAAGAAATTTGTTGGGCTTGTTCCGGGAATTATTTTCCTCTATGTGGTTACTACACTACTGAGATCACCGGCGTGTTCTGCTTTATCTGATATATATTGCAGCTTGATTTTTGTGTCCCTGTATTTATCACCTGGGGTTTCCAGTCATATGACATTTACCTGCGAGCTCATTGTCTTCACTGATTTGTTCGACTTCGCGATTAAGTCCTGCGCTTGCGAATCCGCTCACTACTAGTGTCCCAACGTTGCTTTCCAGGGTTTGGAGTTTTACGCCATTTGCACACCATCGGTTTTCTTCCTTTCACAATGTCTACCAATGGTGGAGCTTCAGGTGATGTTAAACATTCCAACGAAATGACTTCGAAGGATTATTATTTCGATTCGTACGCTCACTTTGGCATCCACGAGGTAACTCTCTTCCATATCGTTTATGCCGCAGGAAATGCTGAAAGATGAAGTGCGCACGCTCACCTATCGAAATGCGCTAATGCACAACAAACATTTGATCAAAGATAAAATAGTTCTCGATGTTGGATGTGGGACTGGGATCTTGTGTTTGTTTGCTGCCAAGGCCGGAGCTAGACATGTGATCGGAGTAAGTCTGTGTGTCATAAACCGTAATTTCCTCTAGATGGAATGCTCGGAATCATGGCGTGAGAGGTCGAGCCGCGAAAAGTTGAATGGAAAAACACCATTACGCGCACAGAAAACACACTACCTTTTCCAATTATAAAGGAAGGATGACGAGGCGGGGGGCAAGGACGTGAGAGCGAGCGAGAGTTGCCGCATAGCGCGGTGCTTCAATTATTTCCCCGTCTTTTCGTCGTTTTTATATTCATAAACTGTCTAACCATACCTTATTGAAGCTACAATATCTACATCTCAACTTATCTTTTTATAAGCAACGCCCCAGCCTGTGTAGCCCTCCTTTACACAGTTTACATTTGGAAACACAGACGTTTTTGGCACGATAATATTGTTCATCATGGATACTTTCGTTCTCGTACATATTCCACTCCTCGCTTGCGGTTCTTACCGAAATAACACGTAACCTTCATATTAAATCACAGATCACATTTTAACTACACATTTTTTATTGCAGCAAAATCCATTTAATTTCGAAAAGTATATATTTATTATTCTTCAATGAAGCTTAATAGCGCACACGCAGAGAACAGGAGTCAATTGCTTTATCCTATAAACAGTATTGTTATACCCAACTCTTCCACTAATCTTCTGATTTTAATCTTTCCAGTCCCGCGAGCGTAGATAGATGTAATTACATATTGCCAGATTTTCTCAATCTCGCTGCACGCTCGTATATTTTTAATCTTCCCAACTTGGGGTCCGGTTATGGTGGTCATCATCAGTGGAATGCTGACTGGAGAGGCGCCAGTCTAAAGGAGTCCTTTATCATGTTGGTAAACTTAAGTTTTCACTTTCATTCTAAAGCTCGCTTAATCGACACTCACACAACTTAAATTCATATAATTTAAACCCATACTTCTGCATAAATGCCTTCAAATTTGATCTATCAACTTGATTGTTGGGCGGATGTTTCCTTCATAAATTACTTTGGTCAAAGGTTAGTAGATGAAGTGTTCTGCAATTTAGGTTTGCATAAAATTACAACAGAATCTTAGCAGTTATGGCTATTAAGGTTTTCTAACTATCCATGTAATCAATTCCATTTTCTCGAGAAAATAAAAGCTGATAGATTCTCAATTAGAGCGTGGGAGGAGGGAGTAGTGGGCTGGCAGGTCGGAAAAATTTTGTGTCGCGTTATGTACTTTCCTATATTCAATTGTTTTTTATTAACTTCGTTATATCCATAGTTTCCACGCACGTCTTTACTTATACCTGAATCTCCTACTACTCAATTTTTGATTCCTGTATTGTCATCAGGCTGTAGGTCTACACTTTACAATACCAGTCTATAAAGTACGATCCAACAAATGTTTCCATTATATCCACCTGCCATATTTAGGCGCTATCATCGGACTATATAACTCACCTTTTCAACGTTAGTGCACATAGCTGAGAACGAAATTGAGAAGCGTCACAACACACTACTAAATCTTCTTCGTTCGAGGCGGCAGCCCTTCGGCGGAACACTCTACTTGATCCTCGAGAAAAAAGCACTCATCCTTTACCTCTGCGTACTGTCTCTCAGAGGTCTTGTCTTTCCTCCACACCTAACATATTTATACACTGAAACATCCTGAGCTCTCATTCGACCATTCCTTCAGATCAAAACCACTCCATCCCGCAGTTCTAGTCTAGAAACTCTTTTTGATCTAATTTATCACGCACAGACGTCCCGACTGACACTACCTCATAGAAACAGCTGTTGATCTACACAAAATTTTCAGCGGCGTGCTCGCGTTTGAGCAAACAGCACGTGTCTGGGATCAGTCACATCAAACAATTCTTGAAAGCCCATACTGTGAATGAAAACTCTGTCTCCATGACCTTGCAGTGTGTCTCGGGATTTGTTCTAGCAGGTGCGAACTCTACGAGAGCTCGACTGTCACTAATCATCGACATGTATCTAGCCGAGGATGACCGCAGCAGTACACACAGATCCGGAACGAACACTCATTATAAAAAAAGTATGATAGTGGAAGAGTAGCGTCTGTGATCTCATTAATCACTGGGAGTGACTTTTTTGTGAGAGCGACAACATATTCGAGATCATTGTGTGGTGCGAATTAAACATCTCAGAAGCGTGTGATTAAGAATGATACAGATCTGGGGGGAATATTGACCATAAGCTTAATATGGGTATTACTTCATAGTACACTTTATGGAGTGCAATAGGCAGGATGGCTTACGGTGTGTAAGGGCGTGACTTTCTTAGAGTGGTAGTATCGGATGACGGATCGCCAAACATGTGTACCGCACTTTAAAATTAAATTAGTGGAGGGACGCTGGCGAGCTTCGCAACATTCAGCTTTGTCTGATTATTAACATACATGTTCAAGGTGTGGGGCATGAGCGAGTTCACGTGGAATTGCTATTTCTTACAATGGTGGACTAGAGTCGAAAGTATTGATAGTCGTCTGCACTAGTTCAACAAAATCGTACTACTTAGAGCATAGCGGGGGGTGGTATGCTATAGACTTCTGGCGTGATGGAAAACTTTGAGTCCAATATGAGCGTAAAACCAGCTATCTGCACTTGCATCGCTGGCGTAGACAGCAAAAGCGCAAAGGATAAAGTGAGGGTAGACATAAACAGTGGTGTGGCAAAAGTTTTGGACATTTCTTGGACACATTAGTGCCAGCATAGACAGTCGACGACGACGTGTGGGGGTGCTTGAAGAGGGATAAGTACACGGAAGTATAGCGCATAACTGAGATCATACATATTAGAGTGTACTAAGATAGGCACGGGTACATATGTATAAAGACAAACTAGGGGCACACAGGTTATAGCAGAATTGCAGCTCATTGGGTTAGTGTGATGGTGGGCATATGGTAGAGATACTGTCTGTTGAGGGGATATTTAGGTAGTATATTAAGGTATTATATGATAGGTGTATGATTGGGGGGACTTTACTAAAGGGTGGATAGGAGGGGGAATATGATCTTATATATATCTAGAGGCATTGGGGATTTGAGGGTTATTATTTTGTGGGAGTATGGGGACTAGGTAGTTAGGTTATAGAGGGGAGGTACAAGGGAGCGGGAATGTTCACATTATTGGAGGTATTTGAGATGTGGAGTAGGGACAAGAGTCAGTTGGGGGACAGTGTGAGACTAGGGATGGCAATATGGGTCGATAAGTGTAGGTGGTGTATGGGCGGTGAGCTGAGGCAGTAGAGTTCACTATTGTTGGAACACGGTAGGGAGGGACTCTTGATTTTTGGGGATGCGATGGATCAGTGTGGGTGTGGGACATATTCTATACACACACACGGTATGTTGACACGATCTCTATAAAACAGAGACGTGAGAGAGAGAGAGAATAGATAAGGTGACACGAGTCAATAAGTGTTATGGTGAGGAGTGTATGGGTGAATGAGTAGTGTGAGTGAGCGAGAGTTATCTAGGAGGTTTGTATGTAGCGTAAACGAACATAATGGGATGAGTGAGAGAGATGGATTTTGTGTGGAGCTGATTAAAGTACACGAGATGAGCAACTGTGATGCAAACCAAAGAGGTTGGAGGAGGGGTATTATATGGGTGGGAGGAAGAATAGAAATAATATGTATTGGGGATTGAATTTTTTTATAGAATAAATTAAAGAATAAAATGAGATAATGGTGGAATTTTATGGGGTTAGTTAATTTAAATTAAGATGATGAATTAAGGTTTATTAGGTGGATTTGTTTGTGTATGTTTGAGGAGGTTCTAGAATTGATAATAATAATTAAGAGGGAAAAAGAGGAAAGAGGCTTTGTGGTTATGTTATGGGGTTGAGTAGGAGTATTGGAGTTGATTTAAGGTAATTTTAAAGTTTTATAGTAATATATAATGGAAATTGAGGGAGTTAGGGGGTGAAGGGGAGGATGATGAATGAATTTATTGTGGGTGGGGGAGTGGGAATGAATAAGGAGGAGGGGGAATGGGGATTTAGGGGTAAGTGGAGTAAAGGGGATGATGTGAGGTAGTATGATAGGGAGAGGATGTTAGGGATAGATGAAGTGGAAGGATGTAGAAGGGGGGGTTGGGTGTCACTATCTCTAGAGGAGTATATTAGAATATAGTGTTGGTAATATGGGAAGGTGGAGTGAGAAAATGAGAAGATAGGTGGGATGAATGTTAGATTTGGGATGTGCTGGTGGGGTATAAAAGGAAATGTGTTAGTTAAGGGGTAAGGGGTAGGTAGTGGAGATAGTAAGGGAGTTTATGAGAGAGGGGGGAATAGTGAGGAGTTAAGGGAGTGTGATTATAGGGGTTGTTGTGAGGGATGTAGATTTAGAGGGAGTTGGTTTTAGTGGTTTTATTAATAGGAGTGGGTGTATTTATGTTGATGGGGGTTGATTGCTTTTAGGTGGGGTAATTTAGGTATGGGGTTGTATAGGAAGATGTTGAGGAAGGGGGATAGGGGGGATTAGAGGTGAGTGAGAGGATGTGGGGAGAGGGATATAGTGGGTGAGGGGGAGAGTAAATTAAGAAGAATTTGAGGTGGAAATAGAGAGGGGGGGGTGTTATATTATGGAAAGAGTGATGGGAAAGGGAAAGAGAAGATGAAGGGGAGGGTAGGTTAGGGGGAGGTATAGAATTTAAAAGATGGGGGGGATAGAATGTGGTGGGAGTTGAGGTTATGAAAAAAGTGAAAGATAGGGGGAGGAATTATGGGGGAATTGGAAGGGAGGGGGTGAAGAAGGGGGGGAGGTGTGATAGATAATAGGTTGAGTGATTAGGGAGATGAATAGGAGATATGAGGTGTGGGTGGCTGAATAGTTTTAGGTGTGGGGAAATGATTGGAGAAAAGGTTATGGGAGAAAGTATTTTGATTTGGTGAAAGAGTAGGGGAGAATAGGTATAGGGGATAGGGAGAAAAAGGGTGATAAGAAAAGTTTTCGGGGAAATTTAGTATGTTATTGGTGTGGGTTATCATGGGTATGGGTTTTTTGATGTATTGTAG